CTTCAACAACTGTATCAGTTCACTCTCATGAATATAAATCAGGTTCAAATAAAACGCAGCGTGTAAAAATATCTGAGCCGCTGCATCTTCATTAAAAGTACATGCACTAACCTGGTTACTCTGTATATGTAATAAAGTACAACAAACAACACAACAAAAAAATGTCGCCACAAACAGGGTCACAAGAAGAAAAAGGTTGGGAAACACTGAGTAAGATGTTACGTAAAAAATGCAGTTTGTTTTTTATTTGTTATTCTGTGTGTTCCAGCATGTTCTCACAGGCTGGGAGAGAATCCAATCATGGCCTGTTTCAGGGTGAAACTGCACGTACGAGCCGAGGCTGGAGCCGGGCTCCCATTGGACGGTTGAACTGTCAGTCACTTGTCATTGTCCACAGCCTGAAGACTCAGACGTTTCTCTGAGTCAGTCAGACCAGACTTCAGACCAGTGGATAAAACACACACACAAACTGATCGGCTGTCAGAGTGTGGGTTCATTTAACACACATTTGAACTGACAGTACGAGTGGTTTGACACACACACACACACACACACACACACACACACACACACACAGTGATAGGATTTTTCGTGTTAAACTGTTGAATGTGATGATTAGACTCCTCTCTCTAACTGGATCTGTGAAGATACCTGAGAACATGAGCAGAACTCGACTTCAGTTCGGATCATTCTGAGCTGCTTGGCTGAGTTCGCTGCTTCCTCGTGTCTTATATGTTTAATTACAGTCTACTTTTCTCCTCTCACTGCTTTTGTGACAGGGAGTGGGAGTGTGAGAGCAGCTGCAGTGGAGTACACCATCAGCTCCTATTAGATCACTGTCTCACACACACACACACACACAGAGTTCACGTCTCGTGGCGACAATGGCGACTCTGTATTTGCGATCGCAGCGCGGTCACCGACAAACGCAGAGTCGACGAAAACACTGGAATAAAAAGGTAAAAGTGAAGCAACACCACACGCTGCGACTGGAACACGTCAACTGGCCACAACAACAATTCTGTCGACATCCTGATTATCTCACAGGCTGAAAGTGAAAAAAAAAAAAAAACAATGTCGAGAGGAATAACAGCTATTACAGAGTTGACCAGGGCAAATTCAAGCACTTTTCAAGCACTTTCAAGGTCCACTTTGAAACAGTTCAAGCACCGTACAACTACATCCTAGCCATGTACTGTATGCATCACCCAGTAGAGGTCACTGAGAGGTCAGTTTGCCCACTGGTCTACTATGGATGCTTTTCTTGGCCAATCAGAGAAGAAAACAAACAACGATGTTATGTTGTTTTTTAAAAGCTGTAAATGTTAACGATCCACAACAAACAACAAGAACCAGTCCCAAATAAATACAACTCCCAGGTGTACGTTACAGCACACAGGTGGGACGTTCAAGACCCAGGAGAGAAATATGTGCAGTATCACGTACACTTCACTTTCAATGACAGTAATTAACTCTTCCAGCCGTCTACATTAAAACCATGGTGCTGTGTGTGTGTGTGTGTGTGTGTGTGTGTGTGTGTGCTGGCATGTGTGTGTATCCGGTGGTGGGCCTGGATACAGGAAGTCTGACTCTT